TTGAGCGGAGCGCTGAGGGATGAGTGGGCACGTCCGAGGTGAAGCCGTGTGCGGGAGGTAGTGAAGGGAAGGAAGGGAAGGCAAAGCATTTCAGGGGGGAGGAGCATCCCAGAACTAGTGTGCAAATTAAATTAAATTAAATGTGTCAAAACCTCAAAGGGAAAAAAAATCACCAAAGTTTTTCTGTATCTTCTCAAGTAGTTCCTATACAGAGTTTCTAGACAGGGGCTCTGAAATTCTTCAGGGTAGCGGTTTAATTTCCGTCCAACAAGAAAAGGGTGTAGAGAGGTAGCTGGGGAAGCTGGGGGCCTGAGCACACATGCAAAGAATTGCACAGAGCACAGAGTCCAGGCCTTTGATAAGCAGGGAGTAAAGGAAGTGGTCTCATATCTAAAGGTTTCCACTTGCTATCTCACACATCACCTCTCAGTAAGTCACTTCTGCAGTGTTTTGCAAAACATCCTGAGGCCAGGCACCCACAGTTCTGAGGAAACCACAGCCTCATTTTCACTGAAAAGTCTGGGTCCTTTCATCCCATTCATCCAAATGGCACTGTGGTGGCCCAGATAAACCCTATTCTCCAATCCCTTGGACCTGGACTGTGAAAGGGCTCCTTTTCTTCTCCCAGTGTCTGGGTCCCAATCTGAGTTCAGGTCAACAAATACTTATTCGCACATTTATGAAGCTCTACCAGGCATTGTCTTCCGTGATGAAGGGATGCTGTGAGCATAAAGATGAACAGGACAAATCTCCTGTCCTGGAGGGAGATGGACCTGAAAGCATGTGACTCGGGGCCAGCTTCCCCGACTCCAGGGTGGCTGAGGCGGGACTCCTGCCCCGCCCCCCGCCGTGCGCCCTGCGGTGCTCTTGCACCTGTGCTTCTGGCGTCGGTCCTCCCTGCCTCTGCTTCTCCGTCCTCTCCCGGGGTCCCGGCCATCTCTTTCACAGCAGGCTTCCTTTTCCTCATTCACCGTCTTACTTCTCCCCTCAGTCCCTCGGTCTGTCTGTCTGTCTCCTCAGGGCCTGCGTCTTCAGACTGCACAGAGCCTTTCTCGTGTCGCTGGTAGAACCTTAGCTGTTTCCACTGCTTAATTGATCTCTTTTTCTCTTGAAACACAAAACCAGTAAGGCACGAAAAGAAGATGCATGATGAAATACTTTCATGTGTTTACCTGCCGAAAGGCAGCCTGTAGTCTCATTTCTTAGGTACTTACAAGCTAAAATTTATGGACAATACATTTTTCATGGAAATGTACAAATGTGTGAATAAAAGATGCCAGTAGAGAGGATACACACGTGCCACCTAGCTTCTGAAATAGCTTTAGCAGCATTTGCTACTAGTGAGCATGGTTTTCATGTTCTTAATTAATTAACTAACCCAATAAACCTTTTTTTGAGGACCAGAGGTTCATTAGGCACTGTGGACACAAAGAAAAAGAAGAAACATTTCTGACCCCAAACAATGTATTGGCCTGTTGGGGAGACAATTAAGAAAATACCGCACTGTATAATGACAATAGAATGTGGTTAAATGCTACTACTATGCCCTTATGTACTAAATGTTGTGGGAGTGTAAGCAGGGAGCTACGTATCTTGCTCTGAGTGGGAGATCTTGGAGGGCTGCACAGAGGGGGGATGCCTGTCTGATCCTTGAAGGATGAAAAAGCCAGAGATGGAAGGAGGAAACAAGCATTCCAGGCGGAGGACACAGCGTGGCGACAGCATGTGAGTGGGAAAGGGTTGGCTGGGTTCATAGATCCATGGTATTTGCACATTAGGGAGCCAGGAGTGGTGCCCGGAAGACCTGAGGGCCAGATTGCTAAGAGCTCTGGCCCTGCAGGAAACTCTTCTCAGTAGGAAATGAAGAGATAAGGTTGTGTTTAGAAAGATGGCTCTTTCTGTGACTGCAGCCCAAGTAACATAGGATAAAGGAATGACCTGAGTGAATGGCCTGGAAAGGGAGGGTGTGTTTGAGAATAAGCAGGCTGAAGCACGTGACTGAGGAATTGACAGGACCTAATAACTGACTGGATGTAGGGAGGGGCCGGAAGAAAGAAGGAAGGGTCAAGGATAAAAGGGTTTTCCGCCTGGGGTAGCTGCTAGTTGGGGAAGCGGCGAAGAAGAGCCCTTCAGCACACAGGCTCTGGAATTGGAAGGCCAGGGGTCGAATCCTGGTTTTCATTTACTTGGATGAGTTACTTAACCTTTCTGTGACTCAGTTTCTTAATTTGTAAAATGGAGAATGACTGCATCCACTTCAGGGGGTAGATGAGTTTTAATGTCTCTTCTGGGCTTTAAATGAGTCAGTACATGCAAATAATTGCCATGGTAAAGTGTTAAGACTAAGCTCGTGGGGCATGGTGCATAGTAAGCACTAATAAATGTTAGCTAGTACGATTATGGCAGGTCATGAATTAGCACAGGGGAAATAGATGGAAAGCAAGTTGGGGGAGTCAAGGGGAGACCCATGAGTTCAACTTCTGGGCACACTGAATTTAAGATGACTTCTGACATCCATGCAGAAAGGACCCATAAACAGCTGGAAATACAGGTAAAAAAATGAAATGGTTGAGATTGTGTGTATTTTTAAAAATTCTCTGACAGATAAGTTACATAATTATTTGCCTACAATAAGGCATCATAAGAAAAAAAATAATCTCCACTTCTCACCTGCAAAGTCGTGGCTGCTCTCGGGGCCCAGAGTTGATGCAGCCCAAATACAGAGACAAACATAGGGCTGTTCAGAACTGTCAGGCACTCAGCCAGCACGAGTCAGTCATTATCATTCAAAGAGGGCTCACTCTGCTCTTTTATGCATTCTCGAAATAGATTTCTCAAAGACTCCAAGTCCCTAGAAATGTAGTAGTCATTTGCTTCCTCAAGTCAGAAGTTCAGGACCTTCACTAATGGTCCTTTGTCAAAATGTATTGACACTTTATTACGATTTGAACACCATCAAGGCTTCTCACACTTGGTGGAGGAATGATTGAAATGTAAATAGAAGTACACAGCTATTTTTTTAATGACTGCATAGCATAGCCCAACTCCCCAGTTCTTACCGCCTCCTGTTTCTGTTAGTCTTGTGATATTAACAGTGGAAATTAACACTGTGTTTCTCTCATTTTTTAACAACTCCTCAGAAATACTGAAGGCCTGGATCGCATTTTCCATGAAACCCCCTGAGCCCCAGATGCAGAGAGCTCAACCCCCAGCTTCTTAATGGATGTGCCAACAGAAAGTTGAAGGAGTATCCTGATAACAACAGAATTTTAATATATGAACACATTTGCTTTGGGCTGCTTATTACTATGTGTATATACTCATTCAAAAAATATTTATGGTCCACCTATTATGCATCAAACAAAGTGCCAGGTGTTGAGAATCCATAGTGGCTTGACGAGGCAGCATCAGAAAGCACAGGTGCATGGCCCTCGATGACAAGAAGGCTTGAGTTCAAATCCCATCTTCCCCTGTTTCCTGACTTTGATAAATTATCTATTCCCTCGGGTTAAACATAAACTATAAGAATTAATTTCTACTTTCAAGCGAGTTGTGAGTATTAACAATGTATGAGGCTTCTAGTCTAACAGATGGTATACAAGGTAAGCCCTCAATTAATTATTACAGGCTCCCTGTCTTCATTTCCATTACTATTATTCAGCCATAGGTCCTGTTCTCTCAGTCTAGCTGGGGAGACAGGTATAGTATTAGAGTGTGCTAAGTGAAATAATAGAAGGAACACTCATTCTGATAGGAGGATTGATAATTACAAGTTTGATAAGCAATATTAGAATAATATCAGATACATTTTTGTTGCAGGAACCTTATTTCATGTTTAGTTTAGCATCTAATGAAGGTCTCAGACTTATAAATACAGCTAATACAATCATCTAGGGCTTTACCTTTGTGCAGGCATGTTCTAACAGTAACACCTCATTCAGTCCCCACGTCAACCCTGCAAGGTAGGAACTATTATTACCTGCATTTTACAGATGGACAAACTGAGGCACAGAGAGGTTAAAATAATTTTCCCGACATCACACAACCCAGGGAATCCAACATCAGAGCCTGCATTTGTGACCACTAGTTACAATTACACTTTTTCCTATTGTTGGCTTCTTCAAGCTTCATTTTACAGCCAGCAGAGACTTTCACTAATTATTCTTGAGAAAATTAAACAAATCAAGGAAAATTCTGGGAAAAGTCGAACAGGAGAAAAGTAATGGATCTGGAAGAAAATAAAACCCAACCATTAATATCTCCAGGTGGAAGCCAGGAAGGGTCCTGGGTGACCCAGCCTAGACCAGCCAGGCCCCTTCCTTCCTGTGTCCAGAGGTGCCCCAGCCAAGCAATTCTGTGGGCTGTGTCATTTACAGTGGTCTATAGCTTTTTTAAAAAAACACATTTTAAATCAGCTTCACCTCTTTTTCTGAGAGGCATTAGCGGCAACATTTCTCAGGGTGTCAGTGTTCTGGGGAAGCCCACGCTGACCTGCCGCAGAGGAACTGTCCTGGCTTCCTGGAGGGCCCTGCCCCTGTGATTTCAATTTCAAAGAACATTTTTTAAAAATTGGCACATCTTGGTCTGATGCAAGATCCTGTTCCATTAAAAAATATTTTGACTTTATAGCCCAGGTGGTCACAATCTAGCCACCTAGAAGCCGTGAAGTGGGAAATAAGAGCACATTCATTTTACAGAAGGAAAACCTGAGAACTAAGCCCTAGGGCATGGGGTGAGGAGCTTAGGCCTTCACAAAGCTCAAGACTCCTAAGAGGGAGTGAGAGACTGGAGGTCAGTGGCCCTGGGTCCCGAGAACCACTCTAGGCATTTCTGTGCTCTGGTTCCATTCCAGGTTTCTTCTTCTGGAAGACCTAAGGAATGCGTGCTTCTGATACTTTCCTCCCTCCCTCCATTTCTTCCCCCTCCCCTCCTCTCCTCTCCCCTCCCCTCCCTCCCCTTCCCAGTTAGAGAATGGGAATGTTCAGGAGAGATCCAACAGCTTAGGTAAAGGCGAAGGGGCTTTTATTTCAGGAGAAACCCAGCCTACTCCACGCCACTTCCCCATCCTTTATGACCAAGTCGGTTTGTTTTCCTCCTCCATGTCTCTCCCTAGGGCAACTGCCTCTCACCTCCTCACATCCGGTTCGTTGCTTCAGGTGATGTTTTAGTTGGTCTGTCCAACCCTGAAAATCTTTTCCCTCCAAAATGCCCTCCCACCGGGAAGAGCCTCTGACGTCTGTACCCTGATATTTAATGCTTGCCCTAATTTGACTCCACTCTGCTTATTGGCTGTCAGTACTCCCAACATGTACCTTCTGTTTGAGCTGGCCGGTCACTTTCAATGCTTTTCCACAGCATTAACTGCTCACAAGCATGGTACAAGGTGCTGTGCTGGTCAGTGGTAGAGGCAGAAGTGATCAAACTACCACCTCTCCTGACACTTCTTCGTGATCATGAAGTCACAGATCTTACATAATGTATAATGCAATATATAATGTAGAGGGAAACAAATAATTATTTGTTCTGTAGGGCAGAATGAAATGAGTTAATAGTGATAGAAGGACCAAAGACAGGGGAAGGAATGCAAAAAAAGCCATAATTAATTTGACCAGTGACACCAAAGGGCACTTCACAGCGGAGGCTCATTTGAGCTGAGCATTGAGGGGTGTGTAAATGGGCAGGAGCAGGGGCGCACATTCCAGAGGAGGCACTCTGCCACGATAGACGAGGGGCTGTGAGGGTGCACGGGGAGTGTGGAGAGGTGCTCAGGAACCCCACAAGGCCCGGGGCCTCTGCTGCCTTCACTGGGATGCCCTCTGTCTTCTCCCTTCTTTGCCAGTCCATCCAAGGCCCAGCTTCAGCCCCACCTCCCCGTTGGTCTTTCCTGACCGTGCCAGCTCATGCCACTCCTTGCAGCATATAATTCAGGATTTGACTGTAATGTCTTCAGCTAAGACCAGAGCAGACATTATGCTCATCTTACGCCTTGGTGGTCCTTACAGCCCCCAACATAGTGCTAATGGTAATCAGGCCTCGACGGTTCTGTGGATCCATTCGCTGGGACCAACACCTCCATTCTTCATAAATGAAGCTTATTTCTGCTGTCCAGACCGGGATTGTTCGTGGGGACTTAGGGTTCAGCTGGTTATGTTTGCTCACGCATAAGGGAAATGATTCTTCAAGTGCTCACTGGAATGTTTTGCTCAGCCATGGGCTACTGCTCCTTGTGCTGACAGGGTGGGGGTGTGGCACCCAAACACAGTTTGAAGTCCATGGCTCTCTGGGCTGAGCCCACAGTCATTTGCACCATATCTCCCGAGTTCCCTCTGAAGAATGACCCTGCTTCTTTCAAGGTCTCTGACTTTGGTAGTTGGGATATATTCAGTTCCCCTGAAGTGCCAGAAATACAGCTGGTCAGTTCCCTTTGGAGAATGGGGACACTTGGCTCCTTTTTTGCTCAGGCTGCTTGGAGTGTGTTTAGTCTGGCTCTGCAGAGAAACACAACCAATAGGAAAATATCATTATATATATAACAAGGAATTGGCTCATGGGGCTATGGAGACTGAGAAATCCCAAGGTCTGTAGTGTGCACGCTGGAGAGGCAGTGGTATGAGCCCCTAGACCTGAGAACTGGAGAGCTGATGGTGTAGGTTCCAGGCCAAGTCCGAGTCCTAAAGTAGGAAAAGATTGATGTCTCACCTCAGAGACAGGCAGGCAGAGAGACAGGATGAACTCTCCCTTACTCTGTCATTTTGTTCTATTGAGGCTTTCAGTGGATGGTATTTCTGGATGAGATTAACATCTGATTGGTAGACTAAGAACAGCGAATTAATCCTACCCACCCACTCACACTATGGGTGGGTATCCCGAGCTGCTCTGTGGACTGGCGAAGGCCGTGCCCCAGGGCTCCTCACAGATACTGTGGGTGAGCGGAGCATTCTAGGCGGTATGCCGTGGCATATTACAGGTGTGCAGAATATTGGTCTTCTCCATGTATGGGGTGGCTGGGAAGGGTCATCAGTTCCAGCCATATGTAGCCTCCAGCCATATGCAGCCTCTAGACATGAGCGATCTTGATTGTTTATCCCAGTGTGTCATAAAAATATTGTCTTCTACATGTACTCTGATGTGAAGAAGGTTGGGAGGCACCGTACCAGGGCACCCGCCTCGTCGCTCAACTGCAAGGGACCCATTTCAGAATGGGCACATGTTTGCTTGTGATCTAGGCACAAGCTATGCCCAGCCCCAGAGCAGTTCCTGCTTTGCTTCCATGTTGGGATGTGGTGATTTGCAATCTCCAGGTAAGATCTGGGCAGAGAAATTCTGGGTTCGGAGCATCTGCGAGTGTCTATGCTGTAGCTCAGCTTCTATAGGGAGAATGCTGTCTGAGAGCTTAGATCACAGTTTCGTAGTTTGAAGTCCCAGAGCGTTTGCTGTCCTGAGCGCTGCTTTTCCCCTGTGAACAAGAGGGACAAGGAAGACAGGTCAGCTGAGAGGTGCTGCTGGGGAAGTCCAGCCCCGCGAGGTACCCAGGTGAGTTGTGCAGATGGCACAGCAAGATGCCTCAGGCCTCCCTGGTGCAGGGAATCTAGGGTGGCAGGGCCTTGCCCTTTGCTGAGTTCCTCTCCTCTGCTCCAGCCACCCTAGTTGAAGCCCTTGGGTAACCAACTTATTAGCCCAGGGGGAAAAAAAAAATCAGCAGGAGAGAATGGGGGTATCTGCACTGATTTTGATTACAGGCTTGGGGCAATACCCAGGCTCCGGCTGCCTGCCTGCCATGTTCCCAGTTAAGCCCCAGTTCCTCCTGCTCCCCAGAAACTGCACCTTCACCTAGATGCAGCGGTGAGTCACCTCTGCTGGCATCTCATGTGCTCTGGTTAATTATTCGGGGACTGCAGACCACCTTCCTGCTGGCCTGAGGGGTCTCAGGGCTGAAATTACGCACCAACTAACGAATCGTTGTCATCCCACTTGTCTAGGGTGTCTGCTTGGAGATGCCGCTATCCAGGCCTCCCTGATTAAGCCTTCAGATCTGGGCCTTTCCATGGTGTTTCTTCCTCCGTTTCCTCCCACTGTCCTTCCATCCTGGTGCAGACATGTGGGCACCCCACCCCTCACTTCCACCTCCTCCTCCTCTTTCTCACTCACCTCCTGTTCCCTCTCCCTACTTTCCTCTCTTGGTCACTGAGGACCAAGTCCTTCTGCCTTGCTCTCTAGGACCCGTGGCTTGTCTTTACATTCAGGCTGCCTGTGTGGTTCGTGCCCCTGCAGCCGTCCTGCTTGTCCAGCTCATAGACGCCTTACCACAGCAGCTCTCGCTCTTACTCATGCACCTACGTGCATCCCGTTTCACTTTCCCCAAATTTCCTCCCGCTGTCCATTTGTCATCATTAATTTCCCGATCCTCTAGACTTCTGGGTTCAGATTTATCTTTCACGATTAGCTTCCTGCCTCTTAGCTCAGCTGTTAAACAGGGACACTTACAAAACATTTGATTCACCAAGAGACCCCCCTCAACAAGCCGTAGCAGAAATGAGGACACTCAGACAGTGACAACCCCTCAATCGCCAAATTGAAGGTCCTGTCACAAGGCGGGACTTACCTTCCGTCTTTGCATAACCCAGAGAGGGACACAGGCACTGGGAATTGTGTCACTGGACCCCACCCAGTGGCTAAGCAGGTTGCACACTGTAAAAGTCAGCTGAGGGAGCAGATGGGAACTGAAGTTCAGCCAGTGTGCTGCTTGCCAATCTGTGCCCCTGCTGTGGGCCTGTGGCGGGAAGGGCCTGTTTTCTGGTTTTCACACTGTGAGCTGGCTGTGGGAACCAGCTGGGCCCTGACCAAGTGGACAGGGAACAGCAGAGCGGCCGGGACAGATAGAGCAACAGGAAGAAAAAGTCATATAGGGCTTACCTTATCAGAGCACTGCACCATGGAATAAACTGTGTTCATTTGTTCCTTGTCGGGGAGCACCTGTAAAACACCCATCTACCCCTCAGTGAGGGAGCCCAGGAGACAGCCTATGAATCCCTCTTCCTAATTCTGCCCCTGCTGGTTACCCAACCCTGGTCCCATTTTCACCAGGTGGCCTCTTCTCCCAGCCTTAGCTCTGGTTCTGTCCAGCTTTGGAGATGATCAGGTGGGTGTGGGGTGGGGGGTACAGATGGGGCAGTAGTTGGGTAGAAAAGCTCAGGAGTGGAGAGGAGTGCAGATCAAGTCTCGTTCAGTCAAGATTCCCCTTTTGGTGGGCTCCGCAGACCCGGCTGTCCCAGCAGTCCAAGCACAGCACTGGGTTGGCAGGCGGGCCTCTGTTTTCCCCTTCACCCCCTTCAGGCTGCAGGGGAGCAGGTGGTGGAGGCGCCAAGGAAGGCGACACCGTGTGGAAGTGGCTCTGAGTCTGAGGAAGTGAAGCTGTGCCGCAGCCAGGCCAGAGGGCTGAGTTCGAGGGCAGCTCTCTTAGCTCCGGGAGCTTGGATTCCCTGAGCAGCCTGCCCACCTGTCAGTGGCCTCACACCAGAGGCTCTCTTGCTGTTTGTCCGCTGTAGGGGGCACATCACTCCCAGGCTTGACTCTCCTCTGACCCAGAGCCAGGCCCCCATGTGGAGGCTCAGGGCTCAACCCCTGGAGGCTGTAGTCCTGGTGGGACCGGCCAGATTCTTAGCTGTGACTGCTGTCTAGGCAACAACAAGCAGAAGCCTGGTGCCCCTGCCTCCCTGCACCCATGAGTAGCATCAGCTCACCTTGGACTGGGGGATTTCATCATAGATTCTAAGCTCTGCTGGCTGGGCATCTCTTACAACCATGGCGTATGTGTATATTGTCTTCTTTGAGGCAGCATCTGTGTCACAGTTACACAGACAACCACAGTAAGTGAAAGGAGGATGAATTTTAAAGATGATCTAATCTAATGTTCTTTTTTTCTTTTTTTAAAAATTAAGATATATCATTGATATACAATCTTATGAAGGTTTCACATGAGCAACATTGTGGTTTCAGCATTCACCTACATTATCAAGTCCCCCCGCAACCCCATTGCAGTCACTGTCCATCAGCGTAGTAAGATGTGTGGAGTCATTGCTTGTCTTCTCCGTGCTGTACTGCCTTACCCGTGACCTACCTATGTTATGTGTGCTAATTATAATGCCCCACCCGCCCTGAAGATCACCAATTACCTCTGTGACCTCTCTACCAGAGGCCACTTGAGTTATGGTTCGTGTCACCAACCCTCTTCCCCTAGGATACCTCCTTCGGTGTGAAGCCCAGGCCCATCAGTTTTAAGTCTGGTAGCTAATGTTTACTGAGTACTTAATATGTACCAGGCACTAGGCCAAGTATTTCTTACGGGTAATTCCATTTAACCCATTGAATAAGTATATGCAGCATGCACTATTGCCATGCATACTTTACAAAGGAGAAAACAGACTTACAGTGATAAAATAACTGGTAGCTGATAAATGGCAAATAAAAAAAGCTGGGACCTTTACTCCAGACTGCCTGCAAAGCACGAGCTTAGTCTTAACCACCCCTCTGTGAACTCGTCTCTCTCACTTGTCATCCAGGGAAACATGTGGCTGAGAACTTACCAGGGTTCTTACTGAAGATCTTCAAGAAGGAACCTGAGGAATCAAACCCAAAGGAGAGTCAGGAACATGGAAGCAGAGGTAAAACCTCTCTACACCCAAGCTGGTTATTAACAATTGGTGGAAAAGGAAGATTTTGGGTGCATATGGGGTTAGAAGGATTAGGGGCCTAAGGCCAGGTTTCTGAATTGAGAATGCACAATTATAGAAGGACCCAGAGGGATCCGAGACAACTATAGGACACAAAATCAGTTCATACCCCCCAGTGACTCCCCAAAGGTCATAGTCAAAATACAGTGGAATATTAGTCCAAACTTCATTTCATATGTGGGAACTCTGAGCCAGAGAGGGTAAGACCTATGCCCAGTGGAGCACAGCCTGGTAATGGCAGTGCTAACCTTGAACGCACATTGTCACCCACCAGATGTTGGTGATCCCAGTAAGAGATTCTGAAGACCATGCAGTCCTTGGGGCTGTCATTCTGGGAAGCAGTGGGGTAGTGGGGTGGGAATTGTAGGTAGGCTGATTCCCCGGAATAAAGGACCTCTCTACACCACTTTGGATAAATGACTTTGGTCCCAGGAAAAGGAAAGGTGCATTTCCATATTTTACTTTCTGGGAGACTCCTACCTTGTCCTCTCTTGCACAAAAGGAACAAGAGCAGTGAAGGTAGAATGAGGACAAACAGAGAGAGCACAGCCAGCCCACTCAGCAGCCCAGCATGACGGGTACCGAAGCCCATTGCGATGCCTGGAAATGGAAGATGCAGTGAGACTTAAATCTCAGGAAATGGGCCTAAGAAGCTGGGAGGGCTTGTCCACATTCAGGGGCTGGATACCCGCCAGGGGAGGGCTAAAGTTCGGAGGAAACTGTACTTCCTGCTATTAAAGCTGGGATGAGAAACCGAATCGGAGAGTCAAGCGGGGGCTGCCTCAGAGCACCCTGAGATGCCTGACATCTTGCAGAAGGCTTTGGACTCTTTCCCAGGGCTTCCTGAGGGGAGATGACCCTGGAGACTGGCCTGGCCGAGGGAGGCACATTGCCCTGGAGAGCGAGGCACAAATTCAGGCCACGCAGCAATTCACAGTGATTTCTGAGATTCCAGGAGAGATGGACAGAGCTGGTTACCTGTACACAGCTGCTGGGCAGCGATGGAGTCAGAACTGTTGCTGACAGGGTTCCAGGCTGTGCATGTGTAAGTCAGCTCCTGGTTGTCAGGGGTCTGGAAGATTCGAAGGACATGACCCTCTTCCCCCAGGGGACTCCAACTGTACGTCACATTCTTTTCTTCATTCTCCACAGAGCATATCAGCGTGACGTTACAGGTGTTGTTCACAGATGTCATTAAACTCTGAGTAATTTTTGGCTTCCCAAGCCGACCTATGAGGGGAAAACACATGAGCCAGGTAAGCTGCAGCTGGCCTCTTCCAGCCTGTGAGAAGCAACTGTTAAATTTTCAGAAATTTTTCATGATGGCTGTTCAACATAGACATCATGAAAACTTAAATTACAAAAAGTTACAAAATAAATGATATTAAAAAGGAAACTAATATATTAAATACTCCAAATTCATCACTTTCTAGTTTTTTGGATAATTGTTATCTACGCTCCCTAAGTTATTTGCATCTCTTGTGTCTTTCCTTAGTAATGAGGCACAAATTCTTTCCAATTCTGCATGTCTTAAAATCAGCCTCAGTGGGAGGGCAGGCAACCCCACTTCACTCCACTGCATTTTGCAGAGATGGCATTTGTTAGTGAAGATTTGTGGCAACCAGGATCGAGCAAATCCATCAGCACCATTTTTCCAGCAACATTTGCCCGCTTCATGTCTCCATGTCACCTTTTGGTAATTCTCCCAATATTGGACTTTTTCATTATTAGTATATTCTAGTGGTGATCCGCGGTCAGTGATTATGACTTGCTGACAGCTCAGGTGATGGTTAGCATTTTTAGCAATAAGGTACTTTTAAAAATTAAGGCATGAATATTGTTTTTAGACATAATGCTATTGCACACTTAATAGACTACAGTTTGGTATAAACATAACTTTCACATGCAGACAAAACAATTCATTTGATTTGCTCTGTTTGTAACATTCCCTTTCTTGAGGTGGTCTAGAACCAGACCTGTAACATCTCTGAGTATATCTATATTTACACCAAGAAATTGGAAATGCTACAAACTAGGGCTTGATTAAATGCTAAGACTTCGGAGTCTGGTATGTATCTCACACTTATGACACATCTCAATTTGGACTCACCACATTTCAAATACTCAAGAACCACATGTAGCTAGTGGCTACCGTTATTGGACAAGGCAGTTAAAGACCAGTGCTTCTTGAACTTCAACACATATAGGAAGAGTCCCTGGGGGTGTTAAGACACAGATTCCTGGGCTTCCCAAACAAAGGTAAGGGGTGAGACCTGGGGATTTGAATTCCAGCAAAATCCTAGGTGACACTGATGCCACCAGACACTTTGAACAGCATTGCCTGCTGCACCTTGCACATCTCCCAGGGAACCATGGCAGTTTCCGTGATGATAGTTTTAATATTTTACCTTTTGCAATCACTTTGCATTAGCTACTAGAGAAGTCCAAATTAAAACCCAAAAGAGATAAAACTGTTTACCCACCAGAATGGCCAAAATGAAAAATAATGATAACACTAAATGCTGGTGAGGATGTGGAGAAGAATTGGATCACTCACCCATCATTGGTGGGAATATGAAACAGTCTGGCAATTCTTTGAAAAGTAAAAATGACTCTTAAAAGTTCTGGAGAGAGCTACCAAGCCATGGAAAGACAAGGAGGTAACTTAAATGTGTATTATTAAGTAAAAAAAGCCAAACTGAAAAGGTTACATACTCTGTGAGTGCAACTACATGACATTCTGAAAAGGCAAAAACAGTAAAAAGATCAGTGGCTGCCAAAGGTTGTGGGGAGGAAGGGCTTAATAAGCAGAGCACAGAAGATTTTTAGGGCAGTAAAACTATTCTGTATGATACATGTAATGGTAGATACACATCATTATTTATTTGTGAAAACCCACAGAATGTACAATACAGTGAGTGAGCCCTAAGTTAAGCTATGGACTTTGGGGGACAATGATGCATCAGTGTACGTGATCAACTGTCACAAAGGCCCCACTTTGGTGGGGGATGTTGAGAATGGAGGAGGTCATATGTGTGTGGGGGCAGGGCACATCTGGGGACTCCCTGTACTTTCTACTCAAGTTTTCTATGAACCTTAACATGCTCTAAAAGTAGAATCTGTTTAAAAGGAAAAAAATGTCCTGGAGATGGATAATGGTGCTGGTTATTCAACAATGTGAACGTGCTTAATGCCACTGAACTGTACACTTAAAAATGGTTAAAATGATACATATATTTTATCACAATAAAATATTGTTAAAAGAATAATAGAAAAATGAATTTTGCCTTCTGATTTCATCCTTGGGCATTCAAAAACTTCTTTCCTGAAGAAACTTGTACCCAATGTTCAGAGTAGCATTATCTATAATAGCCCCAAACTGGAACCAACTAAAATACTCCTCAAAAAGTGAACAACCAAACAAACCAGTATATGTAAGCCATGGAATAGTATACTGCAGTAAAAAGGTATAGACTCTTGAGACTTGCAATAATTAGGATGACTCTCAAATAAATCACACTTTAACATTTGTGAAATAATATAATTGCAGGTACGAAAAATGGATTAATGTCTTCTGGGAGTTTGGGAGGGGAAAAGAAGGGTGTAAGGGTGACTATAAAGGGATGAGGGATCCTTGCTGTGATGACAGTTAAGTATTTTGATTGTGGTCGTGGTTACATGAAACTCCATATGTGAATACACTTTGCAGAGTTACCCACATACACCTCAAGAAGTACCCTTATAACTGGTGAGATCTAAATCACCTCTGTAGATGGCACTGATGCCAGTTTCCTGGTCCTGGTATTGTACTACAGTTACATAAGGTGTTACCATTGGGAGAGGCTGGGGAAGTGTGCACAGAATCTCCCTGCATACTTCCTTACATCTTGTTATGTATCTGTAATTATTTAAATACTTAAATATACTTAAATATATTTTTAATGTTTTTCTGAAAAAGTTCTTTGTATACATTATCTCACTGGATCTTCATGATAACTATGGGATGTGAATAGTATGATTATTCACATTTTACTGAAAAGCAAAACAAGCTCCATGGGACAAACTGTTGGTGAAAAATTGCATAGCTAACAAGTGAAACCACATCCTCTTTATAAGTACTGATATATTTATGTAAGTGTTCATAGGTAGAAAAAGATTTAGGGAACCTGATTGCTAGAATTATAGGTGCTCTTTAGATAGCAAATTTGCAAAACAAAAAGTAAGCCCCCCATCTTCCCACAACTTACGATAGACTTGGAGGTTATAGCACCTGGTGATGGTGGCAATCTTTTCAGAGGTCTTTATATTTATGTCAGCTTTGTAGATCCCTGCATCTTCCAGCCTCAGACGGCTGATCTCCAGGTTGTAGCTCTGACCTGAGACATTTACTCGTTTATAGTAATTTTGGTGGGTCACAGTAATCTTGGCTGCTGTCTCTGCATCTCCTGGTACTACAAAAGCAACAGATGTTCCAGAATTCCAAGCGATGCTCACAACTTGCTGTGATTCTTGGATATTTAAGGGGAAAGTAATTGACTCTCCCAGAATCCCATTCACCATGAGGATGTTTGTGTCACTTGCGACTGCTTCCAGACCTGAGGACATAAATAGAAAACTGTAGCCATTTGACTGTTGCATCTCTTAGAGTTCCCTGTCTCCCCAGGCCTGAGGAAATGCCATGGATGCAGCAAATTCAGTTTCTTCAGGATTTTTTTTTTTTTTTTGCATTCTACTGTGGGGATATGTAATATGCTGTGATGGCTAAATTATCTGAACAGTTCTCATTCAAACACTAAGTTTCCCAGTGAATTTCAAGTGATTCACTTCATTAAAAACAAGTTCATCTAGATTAATAGACTCTGAGAGCTAGAAGGGATTTGAGAGACAAAGACCAAAAATCTCTATGAGGTCCTAGATATTAGCTGTCTTTCTTTCCAAAGAGCATATTGGCAAGTGGCAGAAAAGTTGGGACAGGAGCCTGGGATGGTTACTGTGGTCTTTGCAAACAGAAAGTTGCATTTATGCCTCTATTCCTGGGAGATATAGGCATTGAGTACTGTAGAGGCTCTGGAGTAAATTTTTCCCAATTTGGTGATTTTGGAGGATCTTTCTTGTTCACTGCTAAATCTCTAGTCTCTAGAAGAGGACATGACACATGGTGGGTGCTGAGTAAATATTTGTGGAATTGATAAAGGAAACCCATGTGTTGCCTAGAATCTCTTGAAACAATTTCTGATACAAGCAAAGTTCACTTATTCATTCATACATTTATGAATGAATGTATGTATTTATTCAAGGTCAGCTTTGTCCTATGGCAGGTATTTATTAATTTAATTTATAACACAAATGGTTGCTGAGCTTTTATTCTCTTAAGCATAATGAAAGGAGCTAGTAAGTAAAGATAGATAGAGTCTCTGCTCTGGAACTTAGTTAAAAGAAAAGACCAATATTGGTCAGATAACCACAAGCAGTGAGATACAAAATTTTTAAGTATTATGGTGCTTTGAGAGAGAAGAGCAAAGGGGATTTGATCTGTTCTGGGGACCCAGGAACACTTTACAATAAAAGCTGGTTTCCTTTAGGTGTTATGTTTTTCTTCCTCTTCTTCTTTCATTACTCTTGTTATTCTCCCCAAACTCTACTTAGTGAGAAATAGTTTTTGGAGCCAGCATGGATGATATTCCAACTATTTAACCAACAGACACAGGCACTGACGAATCAGAAAAGGCCTCACACATAAACAACAATCAGACCACTTCCCTGAGTCCTGATGGCATGGAAGCCCCAGAGAGAAGGACAGCAGTGGGTCCAGACTGACCCTGAGGTTTACCCAGGGCTTGGCATAAAAAGAGCAAGAATACAGGACATTGAATGCAAGTCATTTAGAAGTGTCAGAAAAGCAAAGGGATTTCTGAATCGAATGGTGTCTCACTGTCACTACCCTTGTCTTTCAGCCCCGTAACTCCTGAAAGAGCCCAGGGACTGCTAATATGAACTTCTTTCCCTTCAGACCCACCAAGATTCTCCCTAGGGGGAATATCCCAGGCAAGACCTGACAACTGATTTGGGGTAGGCCGCGCACAGAAGGTGTAATGGTGCCCTCTGAAGCAGGGGGGAGAGTAAGAACCCTTGTCTACAAACATTTATTCAATGCTAAGTGCCAGATGCTGTGTTAGGGACCAGGGGTGAATAGCCCAGAGAATGAGACAGTTGTGTGTACAAGTGACAAGGCAAAGTGAGAGTCTAAACGCTAAGAGCGAAAGGAACACACCACTGGGGGAACAGGAGAAACTAGGACCGCCTTTGGAGGCGGCAGTCATGGTTTACCACCACCCAGTTCCTTGAACAGGAATTCTCTCCAGACAGACTGTCTCCTTAGGCTGAGGGGATCTGGTAGAGAGGCATTTGGAGTGTGTGCCCTGGATGTCCCAAGCGTGGGCATGGGACCCGGGCTGTCCCAAAGAGCCTTTGGCTCAGAAGGACCCTGAACTTAGTTTACTGCTGCTGTGCCTCCTTGAAATCATTAATATCATTCAAACAAAGGGCCCTACAATTTCATGTTATACTGGGTTCCATGAATTATATAACTCGCCAAGTGCCCAATGTCCCATGTCTCTTAAGGCGTATTCTGAAGTCAGGCCCTAGGACCCGCTTGCATCCCACTCTGCAAATGTGCGTTAAATGCAAGGACAGGATGTGGGTTCCACAGGCTTGTAGTTCTGGTCTCCTCAAACCTCTAGAAAATGTGTAGGCAGTTTGCTAAACTTGAGAATCTTCTTAGTGTTATACAATGGCACAGCCACAAAACGTTTGGCATGCGATAACCATTTTTGAAGAGTGTCATATTTCTCTTGGCAAGTCACTCAGGAAGTGACAGTAGAGTATCAAAGGGGAATGGAGCAGTGGGGGCCGCAGATAAGCCAGCTGGGGAAGTCCTGCTGCTATTTTGCTGCTGTTTCTGTTGATGAGGACCCCAGCTCGCTGCAAAAAGCCACAGGCCGTGCAGAGGCATAAGAGGAAGATTCTGCCACCTTTGAACACCTCAACTGTGGTCTGAGAGAGGTGGCTGCAAAACCATATCATGTAGCGGAAAGACAGCTGCAGACTTAGGTGCTAGAACTTCTACTTACAAGCTGAGCAACCTTAGGAAAGTCACAAAACCTTTCTGCGTGTTTGTTTCTTCATTCAGAGAATGGAAATAATAGCTATAAACCTGCCCTGGCTAATTCGGGATCAGCAAATCATATAATGTGAGTGGAAATGCTTTGTTAACCACCAAGGCTGAATAAATGTTATTTATTTCTGAAGCTGATAATGCTCATCGTAACAATATCATCATCATCTTAACAATTGGTACATGCCCTTTAGGGCTTCCCTAGGCCATCCCTGAAATGGCCTTGGTGACCCCAGGGCCGTAATGAAGGAAGTATAAAGAGCCATTACTAACGGCTTGTTCAAGTGAAGCCAAGAAGGACAGTTTTAGATACCATTCTACTTGGTGGCCTTAATTTTTCTCTTAAAGACTTCAGGTTTTAAAAAAGAAGCTCTGTTATCAACCAAACCTGATATTTATTTTTCTAGGTGCTGTAGGGACTTAAACCTTATATTAGTGTTAGAAGGGACCTTAGAAAAACTCAATCTCGGAGCGACCTTGTGGCACAAAGGTGTTCTGAGGACTTGTCGTGAAATGCACTATGCCAGTCTATGACCAGGAGAACCCTCTGGTGGCCACCCCCCCTACCACCAACCCCCCGTCCCCTTTTTTTTTTTAGGAATTTCACATCTGGTTATGGAAATAAGACACACATACACATAACTCTCCTTTGCAAAATGAGGTAGTCAATAATAAATTCAAGCGAATGATAGAGACTGTAATTGCAGTAAGAATTCAAAGAAGGGAGTGGTCACTTTAAGCTGTAGTGGTCAGAAAAAAACTTAGACAAAGTAGAATTTGAGAACCTTGAAGAGAGAGTTGAAGTTTACTGGACAGAAAGTAAGGACGGGTGTCTCAGGTCCTTGTGTCTTGACTAGAAGTTTAGAAGTGGGAGAATGTGTGATATAGGTTGAATGAGTATAGATTTGTGTAAGAGAGTAGAGAGAAATGAGGCTGGAGGTGTAAATAAGGTTTGATTTTGGACAGCCTTGGGTTTGAGGTCTATACCACAGGCAAAGGGGAACTATTACAGTTTCTGAGGATGAAGATTAAAATGATGGTTTGGGAATCATAGTAATGCAGTAATGATGTAGAAGAAGGTAAAATAAGAGAAAAAGGGCTTGAGAGACCATTTCAGATACTATTATAGCCATCCGGGCATGAACCAGAGGATGACAGAGAGAATGAAAGGAAGGGCTTGATTGAGAGCGTGCAAAGAAATGCAAGGATGAAGGAGGCATCAGATAGAATTCAGTTGTTCAGTATGTTTTGAGTTCCTAATTTGTGCCCGGCTTCCTCCTAGCTTAGTTTGGTGAGATGACTGAGCGTGGCATATGACTCCTATGTCTCTAAGAAGAGGGCACTTTGCTTGCATCATCTCTTCCCTGCTTCTTGCAGGCTGGAATGCCGTGACAGCGGGTCTCAGACAGTTAGGATCAAGAAGAGGGGACCAAGTACTGAGGGTGGAGCAGGAATATTGAAAAAAATGTGGATCTCTGGTGACCTCATGAACTATTCTAGCAGTGGAACTGCCAACTCCAGACTTTCTACGTGAGCAGGAAATAAATTTCTCTCTTCTTTTCAAGTTCCTGTCCCTTGCTATTAAACTGAAGCCCAAGTGGTTTAGGAATCGTTCACAGAGAGGAGGTGACTGGAGGAGAGGAAGACCTTAAGGAGAGGAAGGCCGAAGTCCAAGGCTGAGCCTTGTGAACAGCGCTCATGGTCGTAGAAAACGCACTGTCGAAAGAAACCAAACAGACCAAGGGGCAAGAGAGACCAACGGTGGACAATATCATGGAACCAAGAGGAGAAAGAGTCTCAAGAAGGGGACTGTCACAGATGTCTAATGGTTCACAGTATATAAAGACTGAAAATGGACCCTAAAGCTGTCTGTTAGGAGGTTACTGATGGCCTTTGAGAATATAGTACAAGTAAGATGATTCAAATACAGGCCAGAGTGTAGAGGATTGAGGGTAGAATACATGGTAAGGAAGCAGAGACTTAACAGTGAAAGAAAGGTGGTAAAATAGGGCAGTAACTAAAGAATTGAATAAAACTAATTTATTTGATTTTTTTCAAATAGAAGAGATTGCCAACATACATATGGACAATTAATTCATGACAAAAGAGCCAAGAACAGACAATGGGGAAAGGAGAGTTTCTTCAACAAATGGTGTCAGAAAAACTGGACAGCCACTTTCAAAAGAATGAAACTACATCACTCTCTGACACCATACACAAGAATCAACTCACAAGAGATTAATGACTTAAATGTAAGAGTGAAACCACAAAATTCCTAGAAGAAAACTTGAGCACCAAGCTCCCAGCACAATTGAGGATACACAGACCGCTGATGCCGGTCGTGGAACAAGATATGGAAAGGAAATGGTGGGCAGTGGAAGATACGGGGTTTCAGGCACAGCAGGGTTGTGCCTTTATCCG